GGCCAGTCGCGTGTGCGTGCAGCTGCTCTCCAGGTGAGGGCGGCTGCTGTCGTGGTGGGCGTGGCTGAAGTCTCCTTGTTCGTAGCGGACCACCTGCAGCGGCTCGCTCAGCTCCACCAGGGGAGGGGGCAGTCGCGTCAGGGCCGCCACTCTGCACCGACACAAATAAAGCGTGAGACGTGGAGGCGGGCAGAACCTGTGACCTGCAGCCACGGTCCACTGAGGTCCACCTGGTTCTGAGGGTCTGCAGGACGTGGTGGGAGCCCGGACCCTGGTGGAGCCACGTGTGTCTGCTCCTCTGTTTGAAGTGACTCCACAGCTTCTCAGAGCGCCGCTGCCCGGGCTGCTGAGAGCCGTCGTAGAAAAGTCTGAAGTCCTCCAACGTCATCATGGCTGCTGGGCCCAGGAGGAGAGGAGGAGGAGGAGGAGGAGAGGTGGAGAGGTGGAGAGGTGGAGAGGTGAGGAGGTGGGGGGTGGGGGGGGAGACAGTAACAGAAAATGATCTCTCTCCCTAAAAAGGCTAATGAACTGTTTGTTTACTTGTGGATGGTCAGTCAAATGTTGTGTTCCAAACACATGAAGTCCCTGTACAGCCACCTAGTGGTCAGAGGTTTAAATGCAACAGAAAATGAACCAACACCATGAATATTTGATGGTGGACTGATACAGTATCAGGAACCAAATATTGGATATTTTCCTAGTATTCCAAGTATTTAGACCTGTGCAGTACAGAGTACTGACAGACAAAGGTTCTACTACAAACACACACACACAAATGTCCAAACGTTCTCCTGGAACATCAGAGATAAATCAGTGTGATCTGTGAACACTCAGAACAAACCACGTGAACCCTAACCTGCTGGCGCCCCCTCCAGGCCAGAGAGAATCTGACGCAGGTTGTCTGGGCTCAACCAGGTTCCATCCCGAGAACGTGAGTGACTGACGATCTGCGGAAAGAACAGGAGGAGTATGGACACACAGTCACTGAAGACCTGGACCTCCTCACCTCCCCACCTCC